TTTTTTAGACAATAATTAAATTCTTAACCTTTCATCACCTCTTAACATAATTTGGACCAAAAATATAGAATATGAGCAAAATGGGTACCAAATATATAATAAAATAGGGGTATAGAACAACAAATAACTCTAACAAAATGAGAGTTATCAAGTACCTTTTTCTCTTACTCTTTCAGTCGTTAGCAAATTTTTTACCAATCAAATTGTTTAGGATCGGATCTTACCTTCTAGCTTCCACAACAAATATGTAATTATTTGTTTTCAATAAACATACAGAACGAAAAGTGAAATTTTCTTTGTTTGTACTGAACCCCCTTCTACAAACACCTTTTGTGTTAGTCATTACCATTCCAAGACCAACAATATGTATTAATATGATTAATTCGATAGAAGTGTACAAGAGGTGAAAACGAACACTATTTAATATAACTATGAGCGTATACGTATATAACGAATTAAATATGTATGGTGCGTTGTCCTTTTCAAAACCTACGCATTCTCCTTGTCCTTTCCTCTCGTTCTTCAACGTTTTCAAGATATAAATCCGTTCAATGCTTGAAGTTGGGACATCGATCTGTCTCGTGCAATTTATTTTTTGTTTTCGGTTCTTTGTTGGTAACTTATTTTAGGGTTTTAACGACCTGTTTTTTGACATTTTATCTTTTACGTTTCTTTTACTGTTTGTTTGTTATTTGCTCTTTTTGCAACATTGATGTCAGGTGAAGTCACGCATTTATTTTTAATCTATGTGTGTGTTTGTGTAGTTAATACTAAGTACTAAATGTATTTATTAAACGATGATAAACTCCTCTGAATAAATACGAAAAGGAAAACACTGAGGTTTTAACTGTTAAAAAATACACCAAATCATTACGAAAACCAAATTAACCACCAACAAATACAATATATTATTCATTGTTTTAAAAAGGAAAACACTGAGGTTTTTTGGTATGTGTTTAAGTAAACCCTTAAAAGGGTAAATGTAATAGGTTTAGTTGAGTTTTGTTTAATAGAAAAATACGTATGATGCAAAGTACAATTAGGCATGGCAATGAGGCGGGTTTTGTAATCCCCGCCCCGACCCCGATTTTCAGTAACATCCCGCAGTCCCAGTCTCCGGTCAAACTCCTGTCAAACCCCGATCAAACCCATGAAGAATATCCGTTAGTTTGAGTCTACCATGGATCCTCGACCCCACCCCCAACCTCAGTTTGAGTAACAGCCCCGACCCTGGCCCCGGTTTAAGTCTACCGGGGATCCCCGGACCCGTTTTAGCTCTTAAGGGGACTTGAATTGGTGATCACTGGTGAACAAATCAACATCTTACCTCTTAAGCTACCCCTAAGTATTATAGTTTAACATTACAAAAATCAAGAAAGAATACAAGTATAAAGGGGAAAGTCTTGAGAAAAAAGGTCAGAGGACCTTTGTAGGTGTTTGTTAAACATTGAGGGGGAAAATAGAAATAATATAAAAATGAAGGGGTAAAAGTGGAAAACCTCAAAAGTTGGATTTCTTCACCTTAATTACGTGACGTCCTCAAATCCCGATCTCTCTTTGAACCTCCCTCATCTCTCTCTCTCTCTCTCTCTCTCTAGGGTTTCGTTATGCAACCAGCAACAACGGCGGTAATGGATCCTCGGTACCAACAACAATGGATGATGATGAATCAGCAGCAACCACCGCCACCACAGCAACAGTATCATCAACAGCAGCCGCAACAAATGTATACCTACAACCAGCAACCACCACCGGCTGCGGCGGTGCCGCCGGTTCTACCTCAGTACCCGGTAGCAGCAACAGCTGGTACTGGTCCGAATCATCAACCAGCTAGCGCCGATGAGATCCGTACGCTATGGATCGGGGATCTACAGTACTGGATGGACGAACAGTATCTAGTTAGCTGTTTCGCCCAATCTGGCGAGGTATATAAGATTTGTTCTTGTTATGTTTAGAATTAATTTTTCAATTTTGTGTTTTTCATTTTTTGCCGACAAATTATTATCGTGTATTTAGATTACAAAGTTTTCAATAATCTTCCGTATAGGAACATGTTTATGTCCCCTMAATGCATTTAAAGGACAATTTATTGAGAACTTAATGTTCCGAAGGGGCACTACAGTTGGAATATGATTGTGGAATAATTGTGGTGTATTTGATACATGTCTCTTTTATATACCCAAATTACAGATACGAATTTTTCAAGTCATATGTGTGCATTTTGTGCTATATTGGTTGTTCTTGACTTTATTTTTTCACCCCATGATTCCCCGAATAGAGTTTCCAAGCCTGGCACTTTGCATACACAGTTGATAAGGATTTGTTTACAGTATATGTTTTTGGTTAATCATGTTTCAAATGTAACACTGCTTAGTACACAACACAAATTTTAATGTAATTGTTGAACTTTTCTGGAGAAGTTTTAGAGTTTATCAGGTTTTAAACTGAAAAAACCCAGCCCATTTGACTTGCAATTCAAAGTTTACTCAACTCCAAGGTAAAAAATCGTCCCATTTGACATCAGAAGGCTGAATTCACTTCACCTCTTCCTTTTGACGAGAAGGGGGTAATCCATATTTTTTCCTGCATGTGTTGCTGACAATTTTGTTCCACTTATGCATGATGGAAGCATTGTTGCTATGTAGCTAACTAGAAGCTAACTTTGTACTTGTTGTTCATGTTTGCATACTTTTGTATGTTTGATATTAATGAAATACGTATAATCTTTTATTTCATGAAACCTTTGCTAACTTTTTTGTGATTTATATGTGAGAGGAGTGTCATTGCTATGTAGCTGTTTGAACTTTGAAGTCATGTTTGTGATTGCAGGTAATTTCAGCAAAAGTTATCCGTAACAAGCAAACTGGACAATCTGAAGGTTATGGTTTCATTGAATTTGTTAATCGTCCTGCTGCGGAAAGGCATCTACAGACATATAATGGCACTCTTATGCCCAACGTTGAGCAGAACTTCAGGCTAAACTGGGCTTCTTTTGGCGTTGGTGAAAAACGTGCAGATGGTGCTCCTGATTTCACCATATTTGTTGGGGATTTGGCAGCTGATGTTACGGATTATACATTACAGGAGACATTTAGAGCTCATTATCCATCTGTAAAGGGTGCAAAGGTTGTAACTGATCGAATGACAGGACGCACAAAAGGTTATGGTTTTGTGAAGTTTGGAGATGAGACAGAACAACTGCATGCAATGACTGAGATGAATGGAAGATTATGCTCAACCAGACCAATGCGCATTGGGCCAGCAGCTAACAAAAATACTGTTGGTGGACAACAGTATCCGAAAGGTACATTTTGCAACTGTGTATAAGGAAGCTATGTAGCTTGGTTTTGTTATTTGCTTGAATATTAGATTCATGATATTATTGACGACTTGTGATTTGATTCTTGGATTTTGTATGTGGTTGTCCTTTGGACCCTTAGTTCTTAGAAACATTGTGTATGGTTTTGTTTATCAAGCTTCTTAAGTTCAATTCCTTCCGTATTGTGTTTAACTTCCTAAGATGATCGCCAGCTAGCAGAGTCATTTCCTTCCCGTGCTTTGAGCAGTTTTGGGCATTAAATTTTCGTGAAGTATTAAACATGCAAAAACTTATTCGAACTCCTGTTGTCTCAAAGCAGGGCATCAAGGGGATCTATCATGTAAGGGTCTGGCACTGATTCCAGCAGAAATAGTTACCCCTATAGTGGGTGGCCTTGCTTAGGTCAGTTTTCCATTTAAGCCATTAAATTGCCCTTTCCGTTTATTTCAGTTCCTCAAGGCGGCATTATACTGTGATTTGATTACTTTCTTTTCAAGTCCTTTAATTTTGGTCTTTCCTTCCAGTCAAGTTACAATTTCCTGCCATTCAAGTGCTCTTTTGTCACTATTTCCTTTTCAACAATCACCAATAATCAGTTTAGTCCCTGGTTACATCTTTCTCTGTATCGTTATACTTTTTACTTGGTTCTGTTTCCAGTCATAAGCTTTTATGTTCATTGTCTTCGTCTCTCTGCTTAAAGTTTGATGGTACCTTTTCTATGAAGATGCCTTTTGCATTTTAGTTACAAGTTTGTTACCATCCTGATCTTGTTAGTTTTCACTTGTCCATGAAGTAACTAAAAATTTAGTTGGGAATCTGCATCTAATGGGGCTTGAAGTTGTACTTGGCATTAACATTATACTCTCTATCTTGGTTCAGACTAGACTTACTTTTTAGCTTTTTGCACATTAAATTTTTGGAGCGATGTCATGCACTCGTCTTTGGAAATCATGATACATAATTCTAGTTAAGCAGGATTTAGCTGATCTAACAGGAGGTCAGAAGGATCAAGAAACTTTTGGATCTTTTGGTGTCTACAGTTTTGACTAGTAACTTTTTTTTGTTGTTGGAGAACAAATGTAATTTCATCAGCAAAGTCTTTCTCGTTTTAAAGTTTTAATGGTCTTGAAACTCTAGGAACGTAGAATTTGTGTGCAAAAAAATTCCTTCCATGAGGTTAAAGGCCACAGGCATATACACACTTAAAGTGCAAGTGACATAATGGACCCTCATCAGTCGACTTCTTGGGGATCACTGCATGAATCCAATATATGGTTATTTTTTCTGCATCTTTTTCATGTGGGAGTATGTCCCTTCATCACACTTTGGACTGTTTATGTGAACAAACTAACATAATTTATCTTTCTGTATTTGTTGTTCAATTGATATATATATATATATATACATACATATATATATATATATATATATATATATAAAATATAACCCTTCATCACAGTTTGGACTGTTTATGTGAACTGAAGTAAATAAACTAACAGAATTTATCTTTCTGTATTTTTTGTTCTGATTGATATATATATAAATGAATGTTTATGAACAAAGAAATCAATTCCTAATCTGTTTGGTTATGGAATATCTGCAATAAACGGGTCTTTTTGCTATCCATGGTTAGTTTTGTGACATGCGTTGCACCGTTAGGGTGTGTTTGGTATGCAGACTGGACTGGACGGGTGAGAGCGAGGTAAGTGGGCGAAAGAGTTGGTGGAAAGTTTTGAGGTTTTGATTTGTAATGGGTGGTTTAGTAATTTACCAATCTTGTTCCATCTCACCCTGATTTTTGTTCCACCTACTTCGGTAGGACAAAAGATTGCATTTTCTCCCACTCGGTCTTTGCCTTGACCTAGTCTGTTGTCGCACCAAACGTGGGACAAGAAGTTTTTGACTTTTTATCCTGTTTTGTTCGGGGTACCAAATGCACCCTTACAGGTTTGAGTAGGGGCATATCCTTCCGCCACAGCCTGCCTAATGCTTCTCTTAGTTATTCAGTTATTATCTTCTACAATCCACTTGCTATGTACAAGAGCTTGGTAAAACAAAAAGAAGACAACCTTTGATTAATTTTTTTTATGTACACGCTGTTCAAGTTGGCTATATGGATAAGTAAATAATCATGAGCAAAAATGTTTAATATTAGCTATTTGGTTCTACAGTTAATGCAACAAACTAATTTTCTTGTTATCCATGCTTTTTGGATGATGATTTCATAACATTCACATTCATAATCAGTTTATGTGGCTACATATCTAGAATTATTTCGATTGTAGTTTCTTGTTTATATTCAACATGTGATTTTGCATCCGAATGCTATGCTGGAAGCTTGGCCGCAACTATCGACATATCTGACATTAAACTGGAACTGAAATCACTCGCTCTTACTTAAACTTCTAATTTGAATTTTCTTTACTTGCAGCTTCATACCAGAATACCCAAGGAACACAGAACGAGGAGGATCCAACTAATACAACTGTCAGTAATATCTTTCATTTCGGGAGCATATATTGCTTTGTAGAACAAAAATCTCAATGGTTTAAAAACATTGATTGCAGATATTTGTTGGTGGTCTGGATCCCAACGTTACAGATGAGCACCTTAGGCAAGTCTTTAGCCAATATGGACAATTAGTCCATGTGAAGATACCTGTGGGCAAGCGGTGTGGATTTGTTCAATTTGCTGATAGGTATGTGTGTTTGTGCAAATTTATTATGAATGAAGGAGAACATATCTAAGTGTTTGGTTGCATTATCATGCATATGCAGAAGCTGCGCTGAAGAAGCACTGCGAATGCTACAAGGAACTCAGTTGGGTGGACAAACTGTGCGACTTTCATGGGGTCGTAGTCCTTCAAATAAACAGGTTTGTTTAAGGTTTCTCGATAAAAATTGGCTTCTCATTATCTTTGATTTTCTAAATTTTTAACATGTTATTTGACTTTTTTTTTCATTTTTCTTATTCTTTTATCTTATATGTTGTCATGAGTCTTTAATATAACATAACACTTTTTGTAAGATCTTAACATATATGATATGAATCAACAATTTTCTTCTTTTATATAAAATTGAATTGTTCAGTATAATTGAGTAATAGTGGAAAGCATATGTGTGTGTATATGTATGATATACTGACTTACCGCTTTAAGCCATGCCTTGAAGAGCGACGGGGCTCCTAGTGCCTGATTTTGCGGCCATGGCACTCCACGCAATTTAGAACCTTGCATGTTGCACAAGACCTATCATACATTAAATTAATTTGATGGAAGTTCTGACTGATCTTCTTTAGTAGGCTTTGTAATCAATTGCGTACTGGGAATTTTACGGTTTGGCCTGGGCACATTAATATAATTCATATTAAATACTTAAATATTAAGTTATATTTGTGCATTACATCAAAGAGCCTTGGGTTATGTTTGGCATACTAGCTGATACGATAGCTGTTAGCTAAAAGGCTAATTGTTGGCTATTAAGCTAGCTAATAAACTAGCCGTGTTTTGATAAAAAAAAATGCCTGATAAGTTTAGATGACAATGTAAAATGAGCTAAAAGGACATGCTGAAGAATTAATTGGAAAATATGAGGCATAATTGGGAAAAAAGTCCCCCTGAAACTTATTGAAATTCTACTTGAATTACCTTTTCAGAAAGCTAGTTTTTTGCTAATCAATTGGGTTTTTTCAACAAGGTCAAAATAATAAGCTAGCTTATGGTTGTGAAACATGGCCTTAGTCTCTCCTTCAGTATGTTTTATTTCTTTCTGGCGGTTCAACTAACAAGAAGTGATGTATTGGATTTGTTCAGCCTCAGCAAGTAGAGCAAAGCCAGTACAGTGGAGGTGGTGGATACTATGGATATGGACAGGGCTATGAGACTTATGGGTATGCTCCGGTTGCACAAGATCCAACTATGTACTATGGCGGCTATGCGGCGGGATATGGTGGTTATCCACAAGTCCAACAGCAACCACAGCCACAGATACAGCCACAACCACAGCAGCATCAGGTAACATCAAATAACGGTTTCATACCCTTTTCATAGAAATATTTGATTGAACGTGATCTTGGAGGTTGTTAATATGCCTTAGTGTGGACAGCCTTTACCTGTTAGTATGCCTTAGTGTGGACAGCCGACGCCTTTGTTTGGTTGTATTTCCAGGGATTTTCTTATATTACTCCCTCCTCTGTCCCAAAATAAAATTCCACACTGAAAAAACACAATTTAAGAACTGTCGTTATTACACTTTTTATTTAACTAAATTACAATTTTACCCTTACATAGAGGGAGTAATGAATTTCTCCATCTCATAATTGAGGGTGCAATTGGGAAGTAACTGTAGACACCTGTTTTGGGATGGGGCAGTTCTTTCTCAGTCCAAAACAGAATGCAAACATTTCCCTGGGTAAAGTTTTCATTCCGAAGTTTCCGTGCATGCTCATTAATCATTAGAACCATTGTAACATGTCATGTTGTATACATGGTATGACAAACCAAATGTCATGTCTTTCTCCCACTCGTATGTGAGTCAAGTTCGACTTATCCTAGGCCCTGAAGGTAGCCAGATAATTTTTTAGTGGTCCTGAGGGGTGCTTTTGGTACACGGAAACTGGACTAGCGGAGTTGAGGCAGGCTAGCGAAAGAACTCTGGAAGGTTTTAGGGTTTTAATTTAACATGGGTAGTTTAGTAATTTACCGATCATTTTCATGATTTCAGTTCCACCTATTTGTTGGGACGAAAAAACGCACTTTTGTCCCACTCGGGTCTTGTATTGTCCTGGTCTTATGTCGTGTCAAACATTGGACAAGTTTTTATAGTGTCATGTACCGTTCTGTCCTGCATAGCAAACACACTCTAAGGGAACTTGAATCGGTGGCCACTAGGGAGCAAACCTAATCTTTTACCAGTTGATCTATGCCCAAGGGTCCACGTTGTGATTTGATTGGCTAGTCGTACCATGGTAGAACGGCTATATTCAGTATTTACATATTTGGATTCATGATATTTGATGTTCAACACATTGTTATTATGTGCAGTGATACCAGAAACCGATGTTGGAAGATGGAGGCGTGGGCGATTGAAGAGGGATCATCTAAGCAAGCAAGCCCCTTTTCTTCCAATTTGATTTGAGATTCTCTGTAAACGAGGTCTTTTGACATTTCTACCCTTTTCGCTCTTAAACAATTGTACTGAGGATTTGATGATTTCGTTTTACATGTTTATCGGCTTTTGAAGTTGGCCAAAATTCGAAGTGCAGACTCCACAAAATCGTTTTAAAAACCGACAGTTGCATGGCTTTTCCTTTTGGCAAAAACATCCAAAGTGCACTTCGAGTTCTGATTAGATGAAAACCAACCCATACATTTTATTTGCTAAACAAGAAAATTTGTTTTTGTTTGGAGTGCAAGTGACAAGTATGTAGCAGCCGTACCACCACCCCTTTTTAAATAGCCTTTTTTTGCTATGCAGACCGTACAGGAATACGAGATCGAACAATTCATCTGTTTAGGTTATGTTCGGTAAACTAGCTGGTAGCCAATAAGTTAGTCGATGAACTAGACTCGGAATTGATCGATATATTTCTCGAAACAAACGAAAAGGAAATTTCATTTTCCCAAGTTCAATATTTGCGAGATTAGTCAAACATTTTTATGGAGGAAAGTGTTCACTCTTAGTAAGTCCAGAAAAGTCTGTTTGGCAAAAACTAGTTGATAATGAATAAATTAGTCAATTTATAGTATTTAATAATATAGTTAAAACAAGTTTTTTATAATATAATATAATATAATATATTAATTGATGTAAACCATGTAGTAAATAAAAATTAAAAGATATTATAT